CTCTTCTAAAAGCAAAAAAAAAATTATATAATGTCGAATTTAAAACGATATTTAATTTACTTCCGGGGAAAGAAAAATTTATTGTCAAAAAATGTAAAACAGCTGAGATTTGCTCCTTTTTTTTTAGCACTTTGTAAAATTCTTCCCAATTTTTTTCTGATGATTTTTGTTTTTTTCTTTTTGCACCGTTATAATGCAAGAATAAATATTATTTTTAGCTACATACATATATATTTTTGTATCAAATGTTCGGTTCCGGACCGCAGCTTTTGGATATTACTTTTCAATTGTCTTGTCCACAAATTTTTTTTTCGTATGAAAATGATTCGCTTATGCAATAAATTTATAAATTTTGTTACTTTTTTTTTTTTAATTTTATTTAAATATATAAAGGGAAGGAGAAAGAAAAAAAAAATTAAAAATGTTAAAAGGAATTTTTCATTAAAAATGTTGATTTATCGAATAAAATTGGCTTTATCTTTGTTAATATAATTTTAGAGATAACCACAAAAGAGCCAACAAAAGCATATGCTTATTGGCGACTTAAGATAAAAATATAGAAAATGAAATCCTATCGAGTTATTATTCATGTGATATACTGAGGTAATATAGAATGAATAAAAGAAACGCTTTGTACATAGTTTGACTGCCTGGCCCTGCAAAACTTTCAGATTTATCCAATTTTTTTAACAGCACTTTATTTTGCTGATAAACTAATTTAACAGAAATCTCGTCCATTCGAAAAATACCGATTGCTCTATGACAAGCAACTTGATTAAAGTATGTCAACCGAATTGTGACTAAAAATTACCATTTTTGTTTATCATGCATGTTAGTAAGCAAATTGATCTTACAAATTATTTATACGTGTTGGTTATTACGAATACTAGTGCTAATTATACTCTTAAATAGATTTATTTCGAACAAATAAAAAACTTTAAATCAATATTATAATATGATTTTTGTTTAAATGTGTATGAAACAGAATTGTATGAAATAGAATGTGTGAAATGAAATGTATGAATGATAAATGATTATTGTATGATTAAACAATTCATATATTGTTGTTGTAATAATTTTGTTTCATTATGTATGAAACAGAACGCATAAAACAAAATGTATGAAACTAAATCTTAATATCATTCATACATAATATGACATGTCTATATTATACACAATATACTAAATTTTAAAATGCAGTACTGAGTAAAATTCATCTTTTAATATTTAAAATTAAAAAATGTCAAATGTTTTTTTGTCAAATGTTAATTTTTAATATTTATTCGAACATCATGCAAATACATATATAAAAATATATGCACACACATAGGTTACATGTATAAAACTTCTCAATTATTGTTACCAATAGCAATGATAACAAAAAAAAAAAACTAAACTATTTTTGTATTAAACATGACATATTTTTTTTGCATAACTATAGGCGATTTAATTTAATTTTGTTTTTTTTATTGTTTCTGTATAGCAATTTCATTTGGAACATGTTTTTTTTTTCTTTCATACAATTTTAAGCCTCTCCACTTTAAAAATGTGAACGTTTCTGCATTTCGATTTTATATCAAAATACAATTTAATCTATTTTTCAGTTTTATTTTTAACCTAAATTAAAATTTAGCAAAAAAAAAAAAATTTATTGGAGAATGTACGAAAAAAAAAAAAATAGTAAATTTGCAAAAAACTTTTTCCTTTACAACAAAATTTACAAAAAAAAAATCAAGTCGGAATGCAAATAAAATGTTTAGGTTCGATTTTTGTCAATTTCTATGATTTTAGTTTTACTGTTGTTGTTTATTTGGTCTGCAGTTCTGCTTAACGAGTTTTTTTTTTACTAATATTTTGTATTTTATTTCGTTTGTTTGTTTTTGGGTTTTTTTTTATTTTAATGTTCAGTTGTGTGTCGTTTTCCGTTTGATATGATTATTTTTTTTGGTTTTGTTGTGTTTTTCTTACTTCTTGTTTGTATCTCACTTCTCAGTCACAGTAAGTCACAATTTAATTAAAAAAGACAACCCAGAAAAGGAGGACAACATCAAAAAAACAAAGATTGAAACTAGACACGCACGAATGTTCCAAAAAAAAAAAAAAATTTCAATCCAATTAAATTGAGTTCGCGTTACAAATCATGCAGAACATTTTTGCTGTTGCATTCCCTATTGTTGTTGTTGTTGCTGTTGATGATCTGATGCAATGAGCGACATTTTTTTTTTGTTTGAGTGCTGTACGTTTGTGTTGTTATTTTTTTTATGTTTGCTTTCCCTTGTTTATTCGATACTTATTTTGTTTTTATTTAGGGTAAAAAGTACACACAAAATGAATTCAATTTTTTGTTTATTTCTCTAACATTTTCATTTTTAAAATGGAATTTAAAGTAGAATGACATTTCAATTTTTTTTTTTTCGGAGTTTGTTTTGGCTATAATTATGAAAAGATAAAAAATTGAAAAAAAAAACGAAAAAACTGTATGGAAAATGTCATTTTTGAAGAATTCGTTACTTGACTTGGAAGAATTGGGTGAGTTCCCCGCCTCCCTCCCCCCTTCTTTTCTAAAAATTTATCGTTGATTCTCAAAAAATATCAAAAATTTTTTGTTTTTTCAAAATGAAATTGTTATGAGTTAGTTGAGGATGCATTATGTTTTTTTGTTTTTTGTAAAAAAAAAAAAAATTAATATGTACATTTTAATTATTGGTTATTTATTGAGTAGATTTTTGATTTATTAAGAATTTTTATTTATTTGATTTATTGCTTTCATTGATTTTACAAAATTTTATTTTACAAAATGGAATTTTTCGGCAGAGGACTCCAGTGTTAAATAATGAAAATTGAAAATTTTTATAAACTTAATACACACATTTCTAATAATTTAAAAAAACAGAAAATATATTGTATACAAAAATTTTAAAAATCTAACTAAAATATTACAGGCCGAGATATTTTACGTTTCAGAACGACATTATAATGATATGATAGGGGATATTACGTTTAAGCAAGCCTTGAAAGTTTAAATACACCGAACAAGAGTTAATGACTCTTATGGTATGAATCTATTAATGTACCAGTTGGTGGTATGTGAGTTTGTTGAGTCACTCACGGATTCATGTGTTACAGTACTCATACTGTTATTTAACAATAAAACGAAGTTATTTGCATGAATTTCTATATTTTGACCGTATTGCTACGAGTATTAAACGATTTTGTTTGGATTTTTGTTTGGATTTTAGGTGAAAAAATTTACATATTTCTGTTCTCTATTCTCCTCCATTCTACTGTTCCTATTCTTTTTATTTATTTCCATTCTGTTTCTACTCACCCTTAAAATGCCACTTTTGTTCTGTGTTAAATTGCGATGAAGATCTTTATAATGAATTTAATTGGGGTAAGTCCTAACTAAAATCATTTCGATTTCCGTGGTTGTGGTCGTCTTCCATAAGAGATATAAGCTATACTCGTAAAGGAAAACATAATTTGAAAAATTTTTATATTTTTTTTTTTCATTCATAAAATAATTTTTTTTAATGCAGAAAGCGGTACACAATCCTTTCAATTCTGTGTACCTTTATGATCGTTTTAATTTCGAAAACCATAACCTTTTAGTAGCTTTCCAGCTTTCGAAATTTCGAAAAATTTTCCCTGTATTCCAACTTTCTGTAACTTTGTTTTTAATAATATTGTTTAAACGTTTACAAATCTTTAATATTGCTTAAACTTTTGAATGATAAGGTAAAATAACTGAACTACATCCCATTTCGTAATGATTTTGAGAGAAAATCTAAGTTATATCAATGTTGGTTGCATGTACACATGGTGCATGCCACCCACATTTTTCAATTAACAAAACATTATCCTACTTTCGTTAAATTAAAATTAAAAAAAAAACCAAAAATTTTTCCATTTATTTCATACCTTAGACATACACAAATAAACATCAAAGTGACCTTCATGGGAAATTAATACATTGTTGTTTTTTTTTTCTTTTTATTGAAAATCAAACACAAATTGTTTAGCAATTGAGTTATTCTCCTTTCCGTTACGATTTTGTAATAAAAACCACATTCTAAAACCAAAACAATTTTACAGGTTTGTAAACCAAAACAAAAGCTAAAACTAATCAGCAAAAAAAAAATTACATCGAAAAGGTCAATTATCTCTTATTTTTTATCACATTTCATTTTAATTGGGAATTTGCATAATAAAGTAAAGCAATTAAGTATAACTGGGCTTTAAAGTCAACAACTTACTCTTATTACTTAATTATACGCGTTGGGATTTGATTTTACATTATAAAAAATTGAAGTGTTTTTCTTTTCTTTTCTTTTACAATTTTATGTCTGAAAGAACAAAACAATAAAAATATAAAAATATCAACAGTATACAAGTGTATTTACACCTGTTTACACCTTAATAAAAAACAATCAACAGCAGCTGTGCAAAAGAGAAGATTGTTTTTTATTTTCGTAATTTAGTTTACATAATTTTCGATTTTATCAATTTTTTCCTTCTATATTTTTTTTAACATACCTTTTAAACCTGGAAAATAATCAATATATTGTGTATTTGAGTTTAAAATACGAATGCAAAGGAAACGTAGAAATATAAAAATCAAAGCTACTGAATTGATTCTATAAAATAACCGTTATGCGGTATTTTCATACACAGTTATGATTTGATCATTGAATAGTTACCATAAAATAATTGCTGTTGTTGTTATTATCGCAAAAATAACCATAAAAATAGGAAAACTTAAAAACATACAACAAAAAATTCAGCTTGCCATTTGTTTTTATTTCTATTTTCATATAGAACAAACGAATTGTAAAAAATTCTTCAAGGATTAAATTTCTATAATAAAAACAAAAGAAGAGAAAAAAGAACATTATTTTCATATTGTGTTCTCGTATTTTTTCATTCAGTTTTATATGAGCATTCTTATATACTTTTAAAATATTCTAGTATTTTCTACAAAGAAAAAAACAAAACAAAAAATGGTGTCACAATCTTCATGGATTTTTATTTCTTATGCTGTCATTTACGCAATATCTAGCACAGCTGGTGAACATTATACTAGTAATCGTCATTCATTAAAATCATCACTGTTAGTACCAACTGAAAAACTTAAATATAGTAACGGTAAAATTGGTAGGTTACGGCGACGAACTAAAAGAAATGCATATTATCCAACTTTTAATATGGAATATGTTGATCCATTTATGAGTGGAACATTATTATCATCATCATCATCATCATCATCATCATCATCATCGGTAATACCATTTGATATGGCTGTTGCAGAATCACATAAGAAAAAAGAATGGGAAAAAGGTGATAAACATGAACATCACGAAGAACATCATGGTAAAAAAGGAGAAAAAGAACATAAGGGTGAGAAAAGTGAACATCATCATAAGAAGGGAGATAAGGGCCATCATGATAAAGAAGAGAAAAAAGGACATCACGAAGAAGAGCATGGACATAAGAAAAAACATCATCATGATGATGGTTATCATAAAAAGAAGAAGAAGGGTAAAAAAGGTGAAAAAGGACATGAATTTGAAGAGCACGGTCATTATAAGAAAGGACATCATACAAAAGGAAAACATGATATTTATAAATTAGATGAAGATGAAAAAGAGAAACACTATTATGATGAACATCACGATGAAGGATATCACGAGGATGAAGGTGGTCATCACGAAGAGAAAAAACATAAAAAGGGTGGCCATCATAAAAAAGGACATCATCATCATAAGAAACATCATGATCATCATGGTAAGAAAGGACACGATAAAAAAGGTGGTCATCATCATGAGCATAAGGGTCATAAGGGTGAGAAAAAACATCATGAACATCATGATCACGAAGAGGAATATCATAAGAAGCATGGTGATAAACATCATAAGAAGCATCATCATAAAAAAGGACATAAAAAAGGGCATTAAAAGAACTTAAGACTAAGAGAATATTTTTTTAAAAATTTTTGATAAAATATTTTTGCAATATCATAAAACTAAGAAATTAAAATTTTTTTTGTCTAGCATTGAAAATGTAGCAGAGCCCTGTCTGCTTATTGAAGAGTTAATAAATATTTAAGATAAATTTATAAAAATATTGAAATAAAAAATTTTGTTAAATTAAAAATTTACTTAAAAATTTTTTTATTAAAATAGTGGTGATTGTCTACTGCTTATTTTTCATTCATCACGTCGCATACCTGGCTGTAAAAAGAGTTTATTCTCAATATAACTAGAAGAGATTTTAATGTTAGTGAAATCTTTACAATTTTAAATAAACCTCTTAACATAATTGTATGCCATACTTCTGGCAGACATTCCTAGGAAGTGGGATTATTGCTCTCAATAATCGCAAACTATTAATTATTTTAAAAATTTAGCAATTCGTCATTTTCACAGGTCCATATTTGATGTCCGTAATTCAAAGTGAAATTATTCCTAATAAATTTTTTAATAAAAACCCACTTTGTCTTCAAATCAAAATGAAATTCTTTTTCTTAGAACTTTTCTCTTATTAAAATTTAAAGGTATTTAACCAAACCGTATTATTCTTTCTCGTCCGAAGTAAAAAACGTAAAAAACAATTTGTTACAGTAAAAAATATTTTGAATGAAAAAATTTTGTACGCGATGTTGGGAGAGAAAAAAATGAAAATGTAATAAATGACATGTAATAATAGTGAGAAAGTGTTTTATTATTGTAAACATCAGCTATGATCTTTTTCTTCTACATTTCTCTTTATAACCACTTATACAAAAGTTTAACATACAATTTTTAGTATATCTTGTATATTTATGAAATAATATAATAATATTAAAATATAATAATATAATATTATATCACATTGTGTATATTAATAAAAAACAATAAAGATATACTTATAATATTGTAGAACAGTATTATATAAAATGATTCTCTTAATATTATACGTATAAGAGAAAATTTATTATTACATAAAATGTTACATGCAAGTATTTTAATAAGACAACAATAACATTATTTTTCATTTGACAAAATTTTGTATGTACACATTGAACACACTAAGGTGAGAAAAAATATTGTATACATGAGTGTAATAATTGCTATATGTTTGTTTTTGTGTTGTAAAAGTGAAATATTAATATAATTGTAAGAAAGTGTAATATTAATATAAATGTAATTGAATTAAGGTATTTTGTGAGGGTAATTGAAAAAAACCTTTATGCAATTCGGTCGGTTAAAAGTTTAAAAATGTAAAAAATTCCGCAGAGTTACGTGAAAAATATTAATATGGAAGTTAAAGTTTAAATTTAAGATTTGGAATTTAAACTTGTTCAATAAATTTTTGATTTGCTTGGATTTTTCTTGTTAATTGTAAATATTTTGTATTTTTCTTTAAGTTTAGGTGGAATATGAGTTTTTTTTTTTTTGGAATTTTGTTCTTAAGTGAAAATTTTTTTTGGAGAAATTTATTAGAATTTTTCTTCTTTAAGAAAATTATTAAATTTTTAAATACATACATTGGAATTATTTAATGCACCTACAGCCATCATTTGGGTAAATGATCACAATATTGAAAATGAAGACTCTATATACTTCCGTTTTTATCTATTTTGGTCATTATTGAAAAATTTATTTGAAGATGATTCGTATAATTTTAGGAATACATTGAAGAAATTTTATTTAATGTGATGATAATTTTTATTTTCAGACCTAATCAATGTCTATAATTTGTCCATATTTTAACAAGGTTACAATTCCCATAAGCATATAAACAAATCGATTAAATATTCCAAACTTTAATCCTTAAGGTTTTATTCATTTTAAAATAAAAAATTTATTTTCGGGTTAAATACCTTGTTACCCTTTTCATTTCAATTAAAGAGGAAACAAGAAGCGTAAAAGTACAAATAAAAATTAAAGAGAATAAAGAGTCGGCTATTGCACCAAAAAAATAGAGATGGAGAATTTTTTTTATTTCTTTATTGCAGCCTCATGTATTTTGTAATAAAATCCCTAGACAATGATTTAAAAGTAAAATTGAAAATATTTCAATTATGTTTGTCTGTCAAAAGCTGTTTTCATACCCAACAAAATTAAATATAAAAAAAAAAAATTTCTAAGGATAATAAGAGAAAAATTTTTAAGAAAAATAACTTTTGTTGTTTTCTTTTTTATTTTGGGTCTTGTTTTGATTCGCATACGGCTCTCTTATAACTACAGTACATGTTATTTGCTTTTTATTATTTGTCTTTTATTATTTTTTTTTTAACATATTGTCGTCTTTTTTCATTAATCCTCATCCATATTAATGTAGATTATTTTATTATGAAAAAAAAAAATGAAATGAATCAGAGCAAAAATATAAGAAAATTTCCATTAGTAGCAGAAAGCACAGAAAGCAAAAACAAAAAATATCGTCATCATCGTTGATTGTAAATAATTTGTAATGACAAGTTCAAAACATTTCCCTCGGGAATTCTCCCATTATACAAATTCTCTTATGATACTACAATCTTATATTTTGCAAAATTTTTGAAAATGATTCGAAATATGCCACGTATATATGCGCGTACTTGTATTTTCAATTGTAAGTTTTTCAAATTTTACATAATAAAATGTTTTGTTTTTGCACATCAGATATTTATGTAAATGAAATCATTTTCTAACTCCCAGAAATGTTTTTATTAATAAAACACATGTTCATTTGTTGGAGACTATTGTTAAATAGTATAATTTTTTTCATTTCACATTTGTCATATTAAATTTAATATTGAAGTAACAAAAACTAACAAAAAAAATTAATTTTTACCTCTTTGTATATTGCATACTTTTAGGGTAATTTAACATGTTTCAATAAATATGGTAATAGTTCTGTTGTACTTAAAAGCGCAAAAACCAGCTTTACCAGTTTCAGTAAGGCAATACAGCGGTTACTTAGATTTATTCCAGTAGATGGCTACGGCTTGCCATCTTGCTTTGCATACACCAGAATAGTAGTTGTGCTCACTTAAATAGTGTGTTGTTAGTTTTTCACTTTTTGAAGAATTTAAAAGATGAAGGGTGTTAAAATTTGCAATTATAAATTATAAAAAATATCCTATAATTGTTAGGAAAATTATGTAAATACAAAAAAACTAAAGGAAAAATTTAATTTTTTTACTCTCCTGATATTTTTTATTGCATTCTTGTTATTCTTGTTTAGTTATTTAGTTAACAAGAATCCTATATGGTAAAAGACAAATTGTATTCTTATAAACATTTTGTACCTACATATATAACGACGACGAGTATGTCCTGAGGATTTCGTTTAAATACATTAAACTAAGAAGAAAAAAAAAAAAAGGATATTCATTTTTTTTCTTTTGGCTTTTGGATTTTGCAATTCTTTTTGTTTTTGAGAAAAGAAAAAAATAAAATCTCTTTTTTTATCTCTTCTTTTATTAAGAAATTTTTCCAGTTTACTTGCTTTTCATGAGAAAATTTTTACATTCCTTTCAATAATGAGCCCAAACCAATACAATTTGTTTTTTTTTTGTTTTGTATTTTGTATTCATTCAGAAAACAATATGAACTCATTGAAAGAATCAGAATAAAAGCGAAATCTTTAGATTTACAAAATAATCATATACAGGATGGAAATTAATGGCTGGATTAAAATATATTAATTATTGTTAAATTTTATGTTGTTGTTCTATTCAAATTTATTACTAATTTCATTTAAGCACCATCGATAACACAAATATCAAAATAAAAATTTTTCAGACTTTGTGTCTTGAACACCCACTCTTTGGGCAGTCTCAAAAAAATTTTCTCTAAATTTATTTATCAAAATATATAAATAGTTATTAGATCTGAAGGGTTGGAATTTCTATATAATAGTTATATTCGGCAGTTATATCTAACTTTATCATATTTAAATACATAATTTAATTAATTAGAAAATTAGTGATCATTAGCGGGATCTATTCTACTGAAATTTAGTAATTGGATAATTTCTTTCCTCGACAGCAATTATACTAATTTTTTTTTCACTCGCTACTGTCTATATTATGTGCTAGGTGTGCTTATAAATTTACAAATAAGAGAATAAAATATTTCAGCAAAAAGACAATAATAAGAAAAACCATAATAATAAAAAAAAGAAATTCAAAATAGAAGTGAATTCTAAAATTTGAATGATAATAAAATGGAAAAAATAGAATAGAAGAGAAAATAAAATAAGAGACAAAAAAATTAATAAAAAAAAAATGTAAAAAGAGAAAGAGAAAAAATAAGGCATTGTTTTCCTTTTGTTGTTAAAAAATCTATTCAAGTTCACTCATCAGCTTAGCATCACTCATATATAAAAATTACACACGTTCTCAGTTCTCACGTTACATAATATGTACTCTTACAATGAATTTGATCTGACATGTTACTTTTCGTACTCACAGTACATACGTATGTCAGTTGGATGGATGATAAAATGTTTTGAAAATGATTTGTGCCTAAAAATTGTATGTGTTTGTGTAAAAAAATGAAAAAAATCAGAAAATATTATATGAAAAATACCAAAGAAAATATTTGTTATCCTTAAATAAGGATTTAGTAAGTGAATATTTTTTTTTTTCAATTTCGAAACATGTACCCATATTACTCTGAATTATATATATATATATATGTACGAAATCAGTTTTGGATAATATGTTGACATGCACATGTGTTTAGAATACAAGCATTTTACGAATTCTTTAATGATTTACAAGATTTTCTTGTTTTCTTGGTTTTCTATGTTTTTTCTACTTTTGATATGATTATACAAGTACACAAACACAATATTCTAATATAATGTAGGTATATAATAAAATTAGCTCATACGTAAATGTTTTCCTTTAATATGTAAGTGTAATTTAAAAGCCTTAAAGGCATAAATCTGTAACTAATTTACTTATACCACATACCGATAT